AATAAATGCCATATTATGTCGACTAGAAATCCAACGACTTCTTTCAATTTTGTCCGCATTTTTGTTAAATTCAACGGAACGGACATAAGAGCCCAATGTTATCACTTTGCTTTTGTCATCATTACTGGAATCGTAATAAATTACAATTACATTTGATTTTCATTCACAACTATTATAATACTAAACTCAATGCGAAATTGTTTAATAAGTTTCCAGACATACAAAGTGTCGGGCGATAAATAGTGGTCTTCTTCTAAAAACATCTATAATATTAAAGTGAACTTAAGTTATAGTGAATGCAATTGTAGTGATTGACGGGTACTGACAAAGTGGCCGAAATGGTGTCGAGTGATGTCCAGTCCGTCCAACACTGCGTTCACTTTCCACCAGAAATGGTGTTTAGTTTGAGTGAATTTCGCTTCTCTGAAGTGACCGTAAGAGTCGGAATTGAATCGGTTTTTGCAACCAATCCTTAGCGCCCTTTCAGTCACATCCAAATCAAAACTTACATTAAGTGAACAAACTATGAAAACGAGTCAATACTCACTCTTTTACGGTCACATCTCGAGGACAATCTTCGGCCGAATCGCCCGGAAATGAGTTGGGATTCAATTGAAGAGATTTTGGGTAAAATATTTGTATTGTCTGACAAATCAATTGGAAATGATTGTTATAACTGTAACCAAGAAGTGGTAATCTCTCACTTACTTTGCAAAATGTAATGGAAGTGACCATTGAATTGATCTTCGGATCAAAGAGATCGTGACTGAAGACGAGCAGCACTTCTTCAATGTGTTTAGTTTTGGCAAACGATTCAATCAAAGACAACAAATAGTCGGATCTGTTGTGCACTTGTATTATGACAACCAAATCATTGTCTAAAAGTGGACCAAATGTCTTCAAATGGTGCACTTCTTGTCGTTGATTGATCTCATCGATGGCTCGTTTCAATTGATTCACCGAAAATTGTGTCAATACTTCTTCGGATGGTTTCGATAAGTTTGAGACCATTTGACGAGCGATTGGTTTATTGTTTTTGTTGTGATTTTCGTAATAATTAGTGATTTTAAAGTGAAACCAAACAAAAGTCAATACAATTAAGAGTAAAATCACTTTCAAAACAATCACTAGTTTTTGATTTAATGTTTTCATTTCAAAAGACATTCATTTGTGACAAACCTTTAATTCATTGAAACGTTTTGTTTGTTTTGACAAAACATATGATTCTCTCAAATGTTTGCTCAAAATTGAGTTCACTTTTCAATACAACTCGTGATAAACACGTGTTTATTGTAAACAACAATACATTTGTTTTCATTAATAATTAATTAATAATTAATAACAAAATAACAATTATTGTCTATCAATTTGTTCACTCATTTTGGGATTAATTCTTTGACCAAAATGTCAGAAACTGATGATCAGAGCGATAAAAGTGGTAACAATGAGAAGAGATGTCAATTTGGGAACAGATATCTGACGGATGAAAGTCATGTCTTTCAACACAACGCCTGGTATTTGATTTAATGATCATTTGATTCATACAAAGCATTCATATGAATGAATGGTGTCTTCAGGGATGACGTGGAATGGGATCAATCATTCAAAGAGTCCATTGAGACTAAAGTGAGAGACAATTCGGCGAACAAAGTGTCCGACGAAGACGTGAAGCGTTACGACCAAAAGGCCAACACATTTTGGGATCAATTTTATGGCAAACACGAGAACAAGTTTTTTAAGGACAGGCACTGGTTGTTGACTGAATTCCCAGAACTCAATAACAGTGATAGCGAAGAGTCTAAGAGTACTATTAGTATCCTTGAGTTGGGCTGTGGTGTCGGCAATACTGTCTTTCCTGTCCTCCAAATCAATTCGTTAGTATTGTTTGAGTTATTGTTTGCAATATTTGTGACAATATTTTTATATTTGAATAGAAATCCAAATCTCATGATATATTGCTGTGACTTTTCGTCGACTGCCATATCATTAGTTAAATCCAATCCATTGTATGACCAAAAGAGATGCAATGCCTTTACATTAGACATAACGTGTGACGACTGGACGGTTCCGTTTCCTAAATGCAGTTTAGATGTCGTGACAATGATTTTCGTTCTCTCGGCGATAGATCCCAATCGGTTGTAATCATTGTCTCAAATGTTGTGTTGAATGCAAATGTAATAATCATTTGATTGTCGCAGAATGCAAACGGCGATCAACCGAATCGGGCAATACCTAAAAGTTGGCGGACTTTTGCTATTCCGAGACTACGGCCGATACGATATGACACAAGTGAGGTTCAAATCGGGTCATTGTCTTAAAGACAACTTCTATGTGCGCGGAGACGGAACGCGCGCCTATTTCTTCACCGAACAAGAGATCGATTCCATGTTCACAAACGCCGGACTTAACAAACTGTTTCTACGTTCGGATAAACGCCTTCAAGTGAATCGCGCCAAACAGGTCCGTATGTATAGAGTGTGGGTTCAGGCAAAGTATTGCAAACACGAGTAAATCAACACAAGTCTAAGTTTTTCAGTCAACATTTATTTGAAATAATATTCAACTTATAGCTAATAGTAAATGAATTGTTTATAAAAAAAAGCTGCACTTAGGGTGAGAGCTGCTTTAATTGTCACCTAAAATCTTAATTATATATTAAATACAAAAAATATATATTAATAGAACTGTAAATATTTGTTTTGTATAAATATTTTGTTTTTTAAAAGACTGACGACTAGAATGTGAATAAAACTAGTGAAACAAATAAAATGAAATAAAAACTAATAATAAATTATCCCTTTCTTTTATAATAATAATATATTAAAATATTGATCACTCGATGGACTCAACCATACATTGCGTTTGTAGTGTATTTTGAACTAATATTCATGATTATAGTCAGCGAATATCCATAATTGCAAAGTAAATCAAAACTAAATTAATAACAATTATATATTAATTAATTTTATGGAACTGTCAGAGGATTTAAGTCGAAAAAGTCTATATAGTTGTCATATACTGTATATTGCCATCAAAAACAACCACTAATTCGAATCCATTTATCAAAAAAGAAAGTTTGTATTGAATTTGTATTAAAATTAATTGTCAATTAAGTTAAAAGAGTTTAACTCTTCTTTTCATTTCATTTCTTCTCCATTCAGGCATTCGATAGAAATCTATTCGATTCATATGAAAGAGTTGCTCGAATTCAGAGTTCTGACAATACATGACAAAACATTATATTAGTACGAGTTTCACAATTCATTCAATTCAATATCAAATACCTGCAAATGTCTCTCCAAATGGCAACGATCGACATCTAATCAAAAATATCACAATTAATTGACAATTGATTCAGTTTTCATAGTGTATATTAGGGGACAAACCGGGAGGCAATCGATAATTTTGAGTGACGAGAAGGTGGTAGGGGTACTGTCGGGGCGGTTCGTTTGAATGCAAATGAAAGTTAACGTTAGGCATTGATCGGCGCATATGTGGTGAATACGATGCGTATCGATAACCACCGAAGCCGTCGGAAAAGGGTGTCGTCCGGAAGTTTCCGCTAATCGAATGGTTCTGTTGGACAGACAAATGCATTAATGGTTTATGGGTTGAGAGGACAGATGAGAGCATCTCTTACAATGTAATTTCTGCCGCTTCCGTCGTGTCGTTCAGAAATGACTGAAACTATTAATTGTATGCATTAATAAGTGTTTGAAAACAAGTGCCGAATGTGACTTACTATCAGACTTTCCACTACTGAATTCAATGCTCTGTGTCTTCTCAATCATGTCAGTAAATGGAGACTCACTTCCCTTCATATCCAATAATATTGAGATTGCATTTCAGAAGCTATTTATGCTTACAATGAAATACAAGCAATACTTACATTCATATGGCTGTCCCGCGGCGGAAGAGTTGAAGACTTGTGCTGCAAATAACCCGGTTTTGGAACATTTCGGAGCGAAGAAACAACTATAACACCAATTTATATGTCAGTCACAATCATATCAATCAATTCAGTTTTAAATACCGTTATAATTAATGGGCGAGATATAGGGTCTGCCAGTATAGGAGCTCCTGAAAGCAGATCCCCTGTCGAGTTCGTCGTCTTCCCAAGGCTTGGGTCGATCCATATCACGAGAAGGGGCTGTTTGTCGTCAATTAACGATATGTTTATAATGGGTTGAGAGGACAGATGAGAGCATCTCTTACAATGTAATTTCTGCCGCTTCCGTCGTGTCGTTCAGAAATGACTGAAACTATTAATTGTATGCATTAATAAGTGTTTGAAAACAAGTGCCGAATATGACTTACTATCAGACTTTCCACTACTGAATTCAATGCTCTGTGTCTTCTCAATCATGTCAGTGAATGGAGACTCACTTCCCTTCATATCCAATAATATTGAGATTACATTTGAGAATCTATTTATGCTTACAATGAAATACAAGCAATACTTACATTCATATGGCTGTCCCGCGGCGGCAGAGTTGAAGACTTGTGCTGCAAATAACCCGGTTTTGGAACATTTCGGAGCGAAGAAACAACTATAACACCAATTTATATGTCAGTCACAAGAATATCAATCAATTCAGTTTTAAATACCGTTATAATTAATGGGCGATATATAGGGTCTGCCAGTATAGGAGCTCCTGAAAGCAGATCCCCTGTCGAGTTCGTCGTCTTCCCAAGGCTTGGGTCGATCCATATCACGAGAAGGGGCTGTTTGTCGTCAATTAACGATATGTTTATTTCTAATTTATTGATACAAATAATGAATAAATCAAGCCTTACAGGCATTGACGGGATTTTCATAGCGCAGTCGTGCGGGTAATTCAGTTTTGGCTGAAGGCGTTCGCGAAGACTTTCTGGGGTCGACGTGAGCCTTCTTCCAGGCCATCAGTTTCTCTCTTTCGTGAACTGTCTTAAGGAATACTTTTCCGATTCCGGTCGCGATCTTCGAAAGTTCTTTTTCCTCTCTCTTAAGCTGCGGATCGCCGTTCGTCTGATCCAATTCGTCCTCAAACTCCATCTCTTTCAAGTCAGCGTCTCTGGAGTTCCCACTATAGCGTCGGATGCGTTCGGGATCCGTGTATGGGAACTGATAGACCAGTATAGGGAACATACATGCCATACATTTAGAAATCAAAGTTTATAAGCAATTCATGTAATGGCAAATACCGGCGGAGCGGGAAAGTCGTCCCTTTCGATTCGAGGAATATCGTTGGGTTTAGGCTTTCTAGCGTCGGGATAGTGAGCCATTTCGATGGGCTCCTCGTTGTTCATTGCAGGAGATTTAGGTCTCGGTTGACCCGCCGTTTGCAAGTTATCGACCATCGCTTGCATTCCTTGTTTGGGCAATGGTTTGCTGTACACCCGACGCCTCCCATAGCTTTCGGGGGGTCTATGAAATTGAGGCGATTTTGGAGGTCTTGGATCGAGGGGTCGTTTTAGATAACCCTGAGTCGGTTCGGCCGCCAAATAACTATAGGTGTAGACACGGCTTAAGTCGTTAAACATGGAGTCCTTATCGGCATATGTAGGGCTTAGACGACCCAACTGTCCAAAAAGTAATCAATTGTTTATTCAATTTTTAATAACTTTTCATTTAAAATAAAGGCGAAAACAAACAAAACGAATATTAAGTGATAAGTGAAGCAATGACTGACCTGTTTGTTCATAGAGTCGTAAGGACTGATAGATCGCGATAATGAACTCGAAAGGCTCGGGGAATAGGTTTGCGAATAATACTTAACATATTAAACAAAATCCAAACAAAACCATTTCATGCAATGTTTCAAAACAATACGTACAGCAATTCAAACATAAAAAATTAGTTAATAATTCGTGCAAAAAATATTCAATTCAATAATATATTACATTATTCATGTTTTAAAGTATAATTCAAGTATTTATGATCCGTTAGGCATTGAGAATAATTTTATTATAGGATAACACTATTGTTATCAAATTAAGTGTATTTTAATTCATGTTTTAACTACACTTAAAAACGTGAATAAGTGTTGATAGACATCAATGATATAAAAAGACAATCACCTGTCCGTCGGGAGGGCCGTCAACTTCGGTCGACATTTTGCCGTCGGGTCCGGGACCACATCTGGGGTGCCAAATGGCTCCGCCCTGCATAAACATTTCCTCGCCGTCTCCGAAAGTATCGCCACATTTAGTACATCTTTAAGAATAATTGAGTCAATCATATGATGGCATATAAAGAGCGCCAGACATACCGCGCGCACGTCGGGTGGAAGTGGTTCTCTCCCGCTTGAAGTACTTTTCCGGTAATATATCGCTCGCAATGATTACATTTGATTCCAAAAAGTTTCTATATTTGCAAAAACAAGTGTTTATTAAATGGGAAAAAGCAGACAATGGTTTATAAATGTGATTTACTTGATAGTCCTTTTCACAGTAAACCTTTCCATCTTTGCTCATATATTCTCCGTGAAGGACAGTCTTACAGGCCTCACACTTGAAGCACCAGATGTGCCACTGTTTGTCTAACGCTATTAAGGCTTGGCCTTCATTTATCTCTTCCTCACATGCACTGCATTCTGCAATTCAATTCAATTTCAATTTATTTCAATTTATTGTTTCTATGAGAGCACAAGCGGTCATTTGAATGGCTTACTCGGCCCGAAACCATCGGGTGTGTGAGAGGAGACGACCGGGATTTGGACGCATTTGGCGCACAAGCATTCCTTCCCATTCCACGTCACTTTGTCTCCCGTAGGAAAGGGTTGTCTTTTGAAAACAAATTTATTATATATTTGCAACAAATGCATGAATGGATGCGCTCTCACTGGCAACGACTGCATCGGAAGCAGTTTTGGTGATAAGTATTACCCAAAGCGGTCACTACTTCTCCCTCAACGAACTGATTACAAGCCGAACATTTGGTTCCGAATGATTTTTGATAGCAATTCGTGCAAAAATAGTTTTGCACAGAATTTGATGTTCGGCTGAAGAACCCACCGGTCGCTAGAGATGACTCACATTCTGGCAGTTATTGAAAGAAAGGTATTTTAGAGACCGATAAATAGTGGACAGCCATAAGAGGACAAACCGTGGCATTTGAAACAATCGATGTGAAAGTAAGTCTTTCCCACTCTTAACACATTTCCGGAACATTTCTTCGAACACGACTCGCATAAAACTTTTCCTGTTTTTTAGTCAAACAGATATTTAATGTTAAAAAATATGTCAATCATTGAGTTTATGACAGTATTATTGGGTTTAGAATTATATTAAAGGTATTTTGATCTCAAACTGAAATAAGTTTTACAACTATTTAAACCAAACACTGATTTGAAAACAAACAATCATTTAATTTAAAAAGTCATTTCATAGCATAAATAACAGTTAACACATGTTAAGAAAAAAATATATCAAATTTCATGCGTTAACAACAAATCACGAATTTTACGATAATTTTTATTTCATTAAAAATACTATTTATATTTCGAATTCCTATTTCGTTAATATTACCGTAAAAGTCAGCACATTATCCACACATTAAAAAC